TGAAAGAATGGAACTGGACCACTGTCTTAAACCACACACAAAAAATAAACCAAAATAGGCTTAAAAAATTTTGAACATAGGCCTGAAACCATACAATTCCTAGAAGAAAACTTAGGCAATAAGCTCCTAATCTTGTGGTGATTTCTTGGATTTGACACCAAAAGCAAAGGCAACAAAAAGCAAAAATAAACAAGTGGGACCACATCAAACTAAAAAGCTTCTACACAGCAAAGGAAACCATCAGCAAAGTACAAAGGCAATGTACTGAATGGGAGAAAACATTTGCAAATCATATACCCAACAAAGGGTTAATATCCAAAATATACAAAGAACTCATACAATTCAATGGCAAAAAAATCTGATTAAAATATAGACAGAGAAACTAAATAGACATTTTTCCAGAGGACATACCAATGGCCAACAGGTACATGAAAAGATGCTCAACATCCTTATTCAGGGCAATGCAAATCAAAACCACAATGAGATATGAATGGCTATTATCAAAAAGAAATAGAAAGCGTCAGCAAGGATGTGGGGGAAAGGGAACCTTGTGCACTGTTGGTAGGAATGTAAGGTGGTGCAGCAACTGTGGAAAACAGTATGGAAGTTCCTTTAAAAAATTAAAAATAAAACTAAGATATGATCCAGCTATCCCACTTCTGGGTGTTCATCCAAAAGCATTTAAAACGGGATCTTGAAGAGATACTTGCACACCCATGTTCACTATAGCATCATTCACCACAACCAGAAGGTAGAAGAAACTAAATGTCCATAAACAGATAAACAAAATGTGGCCTATACATACAATGGAATACTATTCAGCCTTAAAAAAGAAGGAAATTGTGTCATATGCTACAAGAGGGATGAGCCTGAAGGATATTTTGCTAAGTGAAATAAGCCAGTCACAAAAAGACAAACATTGCCTGTTTCCATTTATACAAGGTATCTAAAGCAATCAAACTCATCAAAACAGAAAGTAGAATGTGGTTGCTGGCAGCTAGGGAGAGAGGGAAAACAAGAGTTGTTCAATTATAGAGTTTCAGTTTGCAAGATGAGAAAGTTCTAGACATCTGTTGTACAACAATGGGCATACCATTAACAATATTGTAATGTATGATTAAAAATTGTTAAGAGGATAAAATTATGTGTCTTACCATAATTTTTTTTAAAAGGGCACAGACCAATCTCATCTTGCAAAGAGGTGATTCTATAACAGAACTCTACAAACAATACAAGACAATCATGTGTGTGCCTGATAGAAGTTATTTTTGGACTCTCAGGGGTTTGGGAATATCTAGGCTGCTCTTCACCACCATCATCGTGGATAAGTAAGAGGTACATTTAATGAGGTGTCCAAGTGTCTCATTGCTCCCACTCTTAGTCCTGGAACATTCCGTACACCGTATATTCTTTTTATGATTGGAAAAAAGTCTTCTCCCATGTTATAAATGCCAAGTGCACATGGTAGACATAGCAAAGGGATGGCCCCACGTAGGGAATACTGAAGAGAGCTGGTCACCTGTTATCACCACCCAAGGCTGCTCCGGTGCCTGGCCCAGCATTTGCCTCTACCAAACCTCTCCCTGTGTATCCAGAACCCACACAACTGCTGCTTCCAGGACCCAGGCAGATGGGCTTCCTTTCGACAGCAGCGTGTTGGGAGATACCGCCCTACTGAAATGAACTTACAGATATGAAAAAATCCTCTTTATCCTTCATTCCTTATTTGGTGAATTAAAATGTTAGTGAATAGTGTTTTCTTGAAGCAGAGTTCCCTCCACAATCATACTGGATGGTTTCTCTAATGCTCATGCAAAAGGATGGCTACCCATCATCAGAGTGACTTTGGTACTCCCCTATAAGAAAATATTTTTTTCACTTCCCACTCCCCCCCCCTTTTTTTTAAGGAGAACAGCAGATGTTTGAGATAGGGGTCAGATGCTCCTGGAGACCAGCTTAAATGCAAGGCAGTTTCCACATGGGAGTTGTCTTGCTTCTCCCTGGTGATGCCAAAGCAGGGTCTGAGAGTCTGTTCTGACAGCCTGTGTCAATGTGACTCGGAGTCTGGTGCGTCCCTTGGAAGAATTTTAATGTTCTTGACAGACTATTCAAATGCTTGTGTTCCCATTTGTAGTTTCCAGTCTGTGTTTGCACTGAGCTCCACCCAGGTAAAAAGTGAAAGAAAATACTCCATGTGTTCTTTGCTGCGGGGTCCAGCCAGATACGCCCCAGCCTTTATTGTCAGTGGCACCAAAGTCTGTACCATCCTGCCCAGCCTGGAGACTCCAAATGGCTCCCCACCACCATGAGCCTTGTGTAGACTTGGAAAATGTTTGGAAAAGGTCGATTTGGATCTTGCAAGTGTACCACAGGCCACCTTCCAAGCCTGAGAACATTTATCAAAATGATTTGAAGTCCAAATTCACATCAGATGTTTGAGCCACCGTGCCCCCATCTAGGTCACAAAATTGTGCATTTTCAGAGCTAGAAAGGATCTGAGAGGTCTTCAGCACTCTCATGCTACAAAGAAGGAAAGGAAGAGGGGGGTGGTGAGTCCAAGAGGGTCATCGAAGGACACCTGCTGGTTGGTAACAGAGCCTGGGCCCGAAGCCAGCCAGGCCTCCTGACTCCCCACAAAGATATCTTCCCACCACAGCCTGGCAGTCTCCAGATAACCAAAACAGTGACAAGACCCTGCCAACGGCCCACCAACTTCAGTCAATATTTGCCATGACAAAATTCCAACCGAAACTAGAGATTTGGAAATTTGTGCTCATGTGTTCAATTGGAAAAAGAGGATTTTTGACTTTTCTATAAACAATCTGTTTACTTAACTCACTCATGTGGAGTGTTTTGTACCAGACTCATGTTCAGTAAATTCACACTCCACAAACATCCAGCCCATTTCCCCTTCCTCTGCGCCCCTGGAAAGGACCCACATGACCAATGCCTTCTGGGCCCACAAGGCAGACTGAGGGGGGTAGCAGGTAGATCTAGAATGTGGGGCTATTTGGTCCTGGGGACTCACTTAATAGAGCCACTGAATCCAAAGCCAGAGGATCTGGGTTTGATTGAGGGTCTGGTCAGTCCCCATCTGGTTTCCTCGAGGGGGTTCAGGCCTGGTCTGGCCTGCAGGAGGGATTTAAGGATCTCCGGCCCTTGTCTCTCAGCTTCAACTCATGCCAGCTGACAATTTCCTAAGTCGGTACCCACTCTGTCCCTCTGTGCCTAAGGGTCAGCTTCTCCTGGCATCACCTACCAGGTTCTGTGACTTGTTCTCTGCACGTGCCCAGACTCTCCCGCACAACCCTATGATAGATGTCCCTAGTGCTGGGTTCTGGAATCCCTGTCTCTGGATCCTGTCCTCCTTTGGGAAGATAGGACAATCTTCACAAGACCTCTTTGGTGCTGCAGGCTCACCTAGCTGGGCTTGAGTGAAGCATCTGGTGATTCTGATCCCGCATTTCTGTCCATTCCACCGCTGCCCCACCAGGATGGGGGGCCTATAGACTAAACAGCTCTCTGGCTTTCCTCCTGGACTAAACTAAGTCTGCATCAACCCCCGACCCCATCCTTCCTTCAGCCCTTGTCTGGGTCCTGCTCCAGATAAAGCCTGTGTTGTCTTATAGAAGTCAAAGAGGCCAGGCTGGTTACACCTGGTTTAAAGAAGCACTGTGCACATATAAATAGGCAAGCACGTGGGTTATTTTTCTGGTTGTTGGAATGAAGGCATACAGGACAGGGTGCCAAGAATTTGGCCATTGGAAAACAAGGCTGTTGGGTCTCGTAAGGTGAGTTTGATTATTTATTGTCTTTAAAGTGATCTGGTTTCGAAAGGGAGCTGAAATGTTCTCATTAAATGAAGATGGAAACTTTGAGGATCTGAATGTGGTGATTCATTCATCCTTATCCCCAGGCTCCCCGGGATGCCCCTGATATATGGGAACTTATCAGCCATAGGAGAGAGATCAAAGCAAGTCTTGGAATTTTGAGGACCTATTTTGAAAGCATGTGTGTATGTGTTCTTGTTAAAAGTACTAAATCGGGTAATATAATGAATAGCCTCTGTTTCTATTTAAGTTTTGTTGATCAAAAATCTGAGTTCAAAAAAAAAAAAATCTGAGTTCATGATTTGCCCCCTTGACAATTTCCAAAAGCATGCACCTTGTTTACATGATTCTCAAAAATGAATCCAGCCTGGGCCCTTGTCTGACACTCAAGACTTGGCTTTTTCCTGGAGCCCTGAGAAAGGTCATGCAGGGACCGTAGTGGGAATAAGCTGACGACCCCTGGGGTGGAAAACAGTGCAGCCTTAGCTGACAGAGCAGCAGTGGAGGCCCCCAGAGGCCCAAGAAGATGAAGGCTCCCAGTTGATCTGGTGATGGGGTGGTAAGCACAGAGTCGGGGGCGGGGGGTGTGTGTGCTCAGTACATTATAGAACAACCAGCGTCAGGTCCCCTTTTGACCTCTCGTTCTGTCCAGACCCCAATAATTCAGAGAAGTAAGATTTGTACAGTCAGTTCTGAAGCGACTTCAAATGGTAACTGCTTACAAGCACGTGTCTCATGTGCAAATTTTCAAAATGCTTTTGGAAACTGTCTTCAGTTGGGTTCACTAGATGTAGGCTCAGGGGAAGCTTCAGGTGGGAGGGATTTACAGCGGCGGTGCTCCCAGGAGAACCCAGCAAGAGCGGGGAGAAGCAGCTACCCCAGCCCAAGGGCAACCCACCGAAAAGGAGGTCTCCAGTTGGAGTCTTTGGAAGCAAAGCACCCCGAAACCCTGAAACCCCGGGGATGGGTGCACAGGAGTGCTGGGGAGCCAGCTCCGAGCAGGCCCAGGTTGGGGGGCAGGCCAGTAGTGTCCTCCACATGGAGGCTGGCTCCGGGGGGGTGAGGGGGGGCAGGAGGGACTGTGCCCTCCATTCACAGGATGCAGAATCGGAGACAAAGAGAAACTGCCCCCCAAGGTCAGCGTTAAGTAGGAAGATGTGCAGAGCTCACCCGGCTGCCAGTCCTCTGGGCTCTTCTTCCTCTCTTCCTTCTTCCTCTCTCCCACTGACAAGGAGTCTTCCTGCTGTTGCACCATGCCGACCTCCCACCTGGCCACGGCAGTGGGCGTCCAGGGCAGCAGGGTACTTAGGAGATCAAAGCAGCTGGAGATTACTTTGGGATTTGCCGATGTTGTCAATGGCCTGGCTTCACAGCCCCCCTAAATCAGGACAGCGAGTAAGGATTTGGGAACACTTTGGTGCCTCTTAATCTTAACACCTCTAGGGAAACAGGCTGCAGAATGGGGTTGTGCTTGATAAGCTCACTCTCTCCCTAATGTGCCTTCGCACTGTCCCGGCCTGACCCTGTGCGGCTCCTGCAGGGGCGAGGCCCTCCCTGCTCCCCGCTTCCTCCGCACAGGACCCCGCCGCCTCCCAGGGGACTGACCCCCGTGACACCGTGACACCGGCCGCAGCCTTCTGGTGACATCTCGTCCTGCCTCCCTTTCTAATGGGTTTGCTTCTCGGCCCAAAGCGAGCATCTGTTGCTTAGGACCGGCTTCCCAGCCAACACCACCTCTGAGTATCCTCTGCAAAGTCGGGCACGAGGCTTCGAGAACAGTAGGTGTTGGAACAACAGTCAGTTACTCGGTTTTGGACACCGAAGGATGGAAGCGCCGGGAAGGAGCTGCCCAGATAAAGCACGAGCCCCGGGCAATGCTTAGCTTGGGATCACTTCCTGTCGGGGTTGCTCCCTGAGACCCCTGTCCAGGACCACCCCTTTCAGGGCGGCAGAGAAAGGGGCAGGCTCTGGACTCAACCTGCCTGCCCGTCATGAGCTGTGTGACGTCAGGCAAACCTGCTTCACGTTCCTCTGCCTCTTTCCCACTCTGTAAAATGAGGTAAGTACCTGCACCTGTGTCACGGGCCCATCGGGATTAAACGAGTCTCAGGTACGCAAGGAACTCGGCAGTGTGCAGATCAAGCACGCTGCATGGATCTAGGATTACCATGACTGTTGCTCGGAGTAAATAGGATAAAGAATTTGCCTAACAGCCCATATCTGGGGAGACTGTGCTCAAACAGCAGCTTCTCTGCAAAGCCTCCCCTGACCACCCTAAATGGCAGCCCTCTCCCTTCCCTTCTCCTTAACCCCCTTCCCTGCTCATCACCTTCTGACCTATTTTATGTCATTTGCTTACTTTGTTCCCTTCACGAGGGGAAAAGCAAGAACAGGGGTTTCTGACTGTTTTGTCCCCTGCTGGACAGTGGGGGTCTGGAACAGTGCCCGACACACACACAGAGGATCTACTGAGGGAGGAAGCGGCAAGCCTGGGACTCAGTGTTGCGCTGGTGGCCCTAAGCCCGACCCCGGACAGCCCTGGCGATGACCTGCGGTATGGCTCCCAGACTCCTCCCTCTCCATCCTCCATCCCCAGCACCCACAAGTACACAGTGACATTTCAGCAGCAAACCACAGAGGAGGCTCTCCTTCCACGCACAGGCGCTGCCAGCCAGAGACACGTTCAACTCCCAGCGTGGCTGCTCCCTTGCTGTGTGACTTAGGGGCCTCTACCTCTTTGGATCCCTTCTTGGGCACGTGGTCTCCAGGCCTCCCCCAGATTCCCGGGTCGCAGCTTCAAGGCTTCTTCACTTGCAGAGGCTGAGATGCCAAGGTCTGCTGGACCTGCCTGGTCTCCCTTGATTCAAATCAGCAAGGTGGCTCTGGGCGTGGGTGCTGTGAATGCAACCCTGGCACAGGGGAGAGGAAGGGGATAGACCCTAGCCGACTGGCTCTCCCCAGACCTGCCTCCCCTGTGATGGATCGATGGATCGAGGGCAGCGGGACCCAGAGACTTGCTGAATCCCTTGCAGCTGGGAATCGCTTGGGTGGGGCATGTGTCTGCATCAGGCAGGTTTTTTTCTCATTGCCAAGAATTTCCGCTTCCAGTGGCATTCATCTTTCCCAGGAACACCCTTCAGCTAAAAAAGAAAAGAAAAAGCAAACAAAAGAAACCCTCCCTGAAGAAGGAGACTTTCTTTCTCTGTGAGCCCCTGATAAGAGAAACCCTCTGCCAATTGTGGCATCCTGTTCTAGACCTCCCCCTGGCCAGGCCCTCAGGGATCCTTTCTCTGGGTGTGATTAATGGAGGTGGGGGGCTGGGTGGCCTATAAGGTCAGCAGCGGACAATCTTGAGACTTGGGGATGTGAATTCAAGCTGTTGGCCAAATGTTCAAAACTGCCCAGCTGAGGCTAGTTAACTTCTCTCCCATACACACCTTTTTTTTTTTTTTACTTGTTTGTTTGTTTGTTTATTAGTAAGCTCTACAGCCAATGTGTGGCTTGAACCCATGGCCCTGAGATCAAGAGTCACATGCTCTACCAACTGAGCCAGCCAGGCGCCCCATCTCCCATACACATTTCTTAATAACAACTTAGACACATTGCTGCCAGGCATTTTAAAGATAGAAACAACTGTATCATCTTTTCCATTCTGAGATACCTCTTCCACTTTGCTAACGAGCCTCATAGGCATGGGCTCACCGGAGACTGAATTCTGTTATTTAGGGCTCTTCAGTCCAATACGGAAACCACTTGCCACATGTGGCTACTGCGCACTGGAAACGTGGCTAGTCCAAACTGAGATAGGCTGTAAGAGTAAATGCAGATTTCAAAGATTTTAATATGACCCCCCAAAATATAAAATAGCCCAATAATAAGGTTTCTAGTGACTACATGTCAAAATGATAATATTTGGGATATACACAGTTAAATAAATACATTAATAACATTAATGTTTTATCTTTTCAAGTGTGCCTACCAGGAAATACAAAATTATGTCTATGGCTCGTATTGTGTTCTACTGGATTGTGCTGATCTAGAACTTAGTTTTCTTTGAATTCTAAGTTTGTAAAAGGAAGACAACATTTTGCTTTGCCCACTGTCCTTGGATAAGGGATTCGTTTTCCCTAGGTTCCAAGATAAGCAAGAATAATGCTGTATCTCTCACTAGTTATTCATTCCAAAAGCTCTGAGAAGGGAGGTGAGCACTGGGCTTTCATCAGCTAGTCGAAAGCTCCAAAAGGCATTAAGCTCTCATTTTTCTCCACAGGCAAGCCATGGTAGTTTCTACGGTGAGCAACCTTCATTTCCAACTGTACCTCTTAAGGCCAATGTGCGGCTTGAACCCATGGCCTAGTCTTAGAAATATCATTGGATCCTTTGTAAAACCACTTTTCTCCTAATTAACCAATCAAGGGAAGGTGTTTGAAAAGCCATTTATTAGCAGCTGAGTTGAGGATAGCTTGGCAGGAAATGTTTAAGTTATATAGCCTTTTTGCTGTCTGCTGCCCTGACTTGAATCTCGGAAGAGAAGTTTCTATGGAAAGAAGAAGTTTCAGGAAACATGAATGCCAATACCACCTGTTGACTGGTGGTTACGTGACCTTAAGGAATCCACTTCCCTGGGCTGAAGTTCTGTCATCTATAAAGTTGGCAGGTGGCTTCTAAAATCCCTTCTGCTTTTTGTACTATATTTAAAATCCTAGACTGAAAAACAACCCAAAACTCAGTTTTTCAGTATTGCATCTCGATTGTGACAAATTTAATGATTTGTGTCATAATCAAGGTGAAATAACAAAAAAAAGGAGACCTTTTTGTAGTCATTGTTTCAATATTATACAGGGGTTTTCTATCTTATAAAGATTTTTCTCCTAAGTCTGGGGTTATCACTTCTAAGCAAGAGAAGGACCCATAGCCTGTCCCTGATTATTTTATAGTAAAAGCCATATCAGCATGTGCAATTACCCTAGGCTAGCAGTTTGGGCATGTCTACCAAGAACTGAAAGTTCATGTCCCATGATCCCGTAGTTCCCTTCTTGTAATCTATCACAGGAAGCTATGGGAAATTTGAATAGATTTATATGGAGAGTTAATGAGCCAGGCTACTTAACATAGCATCATAATAATACAAATAGAAAAAAGTCAGATGTCAGGTGAATGGTAAATTAAATAGATTAAGTCTGTACAATAGAATATTATTACAGCAATAAAAATGGTTTTAAAGAGCTATTTCAGACCCTAGGAAAGTATTCCTAACATACAGTTTTAAAGTCAGGTTATAAGAAAATTATTCAAAAGCATAACCGTGATTCTCCCCACATAGTGGCATTTTGTGAGTGATTTTTGTTTTCACAGTCATGCTTTTCTCTCTGTTTTCCAAATTCTTTAACAACTCCAATTCCTTTAATAATCAGAACAAAGGTGACTTTTACAGAGAAACCCATCACACTTTTCTCAGCCCTACAGTGCTCCAGGCTTTATCTGGTTCTGTGGCAGATTCGTAGCTGACCTGGAAAATCTGGGGCCCTCATTGCTTTAGAACAACGCATAGTAGGGCTCACTAAAGATTTGGTGAATGACTAAAGAACCGGATGGGGAAAAATACATCACAAAGAGTCAGAATAATTTTTAAACTGTTTAATTTTCAAATGAATGGTACAGAAAATAATTATGAGTGGAGAGGAAGAATGACTGCAATGAACTTGAGCTCAAAGGAAAGTTTTTATGGAGGGCACCTGTGCTCTGGCCACCATCACAAAGAACAGACTGGGGCTGGGGGCTTCAACAACAGAGAGGTATCTCTCATAGTTCCAGAGGCTGGAAATCCAAGGTCAAGGGGCCCATAGGTTTGGTTTCTCCTGAGCCCTGTCTCTTTAGTTCACACATGGCTGCAATCTCACCGTGTCCTCATATGGCTTTTCCTCTGTGTGCTCCCATCCCTGATGTCTCTTTATTTGTTTAAATTTCCTCTTCTTACAAGGTCACCAGTCAGGCTGGTTTGGGGCCCACCTCAATAGCCTCATTTTAATTTACCTCTTTAAAGGCCTATCTCCAAATATAGTCCCATCCAGAGGTCCTGGGGATCAGGAATTACAATTCAACATGTGAAAATTAGGAGAGTGCAATTCAGCCCATAACAACATCCATCCCAAGTGATCCCACCCACCTTAAATCCTCCAAGTAATCCCAATCCCAATTCCTGGGCTCTCCGGGCTGAAAGGCCAGGAAGCTGGCCAGGTACTTAGGATCAATGGCCATAAACTACTGGTTGCAGGCTGCTAGTGAGGAAGATGGGAGAAGGTGGGGCTAAGTGTCACGATTTGGATTGGAGAACCAAAGATTTTAATGTGGAGCTGAGAATCTCTTTACAGAAGTTTCTGGAGGAAAAGTAAGGCACCAAGCTAGAAGAGTCAATGTAACAAATCCTTTCATCCTTGGCTAAGAAACTGGACTGGATCCTATAGATAATGGGGAATCATTAGTATTAATATAATACTTGTGTGACTTCCCTGTTTCTTATTTGTTTTGTGTTTTAATACCTGCAGCTGAAAATAACTACTCTGCGTGAGCCTACAGAGGTGTTGCTTATGAACATGGAGCATTTGAATAAAGATAATCTTGGCAAACAAGCCTTGGGGTTCAAAGAAAAGATGGCCTTTGTTCCATGGAATAAAAATATCACAGAGTTGAATAAGCCCTACTCTGTTACCCTGTGCCTACACAGCCAAAGGAAAAAGTTAAGTCAATCATCCCGATAATCCTGTTTTACTTATGGAGCTTTCAGCTCTAGTGGAGGATGCCTACCTAGTCTTACTCCCTTTAAAAAAAAAATCATTAAATCCTGAGCCATCTAAATGCTAGAGGTAAAATGGATATTCCTTCCAGAATTTTCTTTTTTGGAGTTTCTGGATTGTACAGGCTGATTTTTTCCTAACCTCTGACTTCCTCTGCTACCCTCCGGAGTTGCCAAGTTCCCCACCAAAAGATCCCCAGAGGAAGGCCGCTAGAAGAATACTCACTGGCTGTGATGGAGCTGCTTTTCTTATTGAAATGGAGATTTAAGGTCAGCGAACCAAACAAAAACCAAAACACAGCAAACTCATCAGAATGCAAGCCCCTAAATTGAGAGGAACACTGCTTCACTCTTAATTTAAAAGGGAGATGGAACAGAATGCCACTGGCTTCCCAGAAAACATGGCACTTTTCCCTAGTTAAGCAAAATAGATTTAATTTGCCTTCTATTTTAAGGCTTGGCCCTATATTTTGTCTCTATCCCTGTCCTTTTACCTCATCTCTCTTACTGCCTTCCAATACTTTTTATCTTTGCAAACACCTTAAATCTTTTTTGGAACAAGACACACCTACGGACATACTCATCCCAACAAATATCACTTGAAGGTCCTCACTGGTCACGCCACATTGTTCTGGCTCTTTCCTTCACCTCACTCTGGCTCCTGAAAGCCTGGTGGAGTGTGCGAAAGGAAGCAGCTCAGTCTGCCATCTACATTCTCAGCTGGGTGTTGGCCAAGGTGAAGTAGAGAGAACATCTGACAGAGGGTCTATTATCTGTGCCCCAGCATGGTTATATGGACCGAATGTTTATGTTCCCCAGATTCTCCAAGCTCTACCCCCACTGCGATGGTATTTGGAGATGGGGCTCTCCAAAGGAAATGAATGTTTAGATGAGGTCTTGAGGGTAGAGTCCCATGATGGATCAGTGCCCTTATAAGAAGACTCCAGAGCTTCCTTTCTCCGCCATGTGAGGACACAGCGAGAAGGTGGCCATCTGCAAGCTAGGAAGAAGGCCCACGCCAAGAACCCAATCTGCTGGCACCTTGATCTTACACTTCCCAGCCTCCAGGACTGAGAAAGAAATGTGTGTTGCTTCAGCCACCCAGTCTGTGGTATTTTGTCACACCAGCCTTGGCTGACTAAGACACCACCGTTGTACTGGCCAAGGCTTGAAGGTAAAGCAGCAAACCTCCCAGTGGGTTTGGCTTCCAAGTCTCCTGGCAAGTCCTGTGCATGACCCACAGGCAGCTCTGATGGGTTTCCATTAGCTCCTTGCTGAGTGCCTGTGACTGCTGGTGCACTCATCAACCCCGAGGATCCCAGAGCCCTCACCATGTCATTTCTTTCTCTCTTAGAAAAACTAGAAGCACCGTCCTTACACACCAGCTTTTGCTATACTCCTAGGATCTGGTGGTATTTCACAGGAAGTACAATTTTCCTCTTGTGTGTTCTTGGGAGTTAGCCTTTTCTCTGCTAATGTTGCAGTTTCCATAAAGTTTTACCATGTGCCATCTCTCTAAATTTATGGCTAATTTACTTTTTTTTTCCCCTATCCCATTCAATGAAAACCAATCACAACAAATTACACATTGCGATTTTCAGCCCCGGCAGACATTCCAGTTGACGACAATATGGTAATTACAGAAGCTTGCACTGTTCATCTAAATGAAGACTGGGGAGGCCTAATTGCCTGAATCGGGGGGGGGGGGGGGGCGCCCTTCTAAAACCTGTGCCATTGCCAAGGTCTTTGCTGCCTTCCTAGCAAGCTGACCGAGTTCCCCTGAAGCGGCTTACAGAGCATGGGGGAATTAGGATGATTATTCTAAAACTAATTATATGAAACCTACCTAAACTAGAGAGACATTGGGATTGTGATCAAACACAACTTTTAACTCTTCCTCTCTCATGTCTTTTAAATTTCATCCTCACCTGCAGCCAGGTGAAAACTCCAGTAGTGGCTCAGGGCTTTCCACATCCCACAGTCCCTTGAAGGCTCACATGGAATCAATTTGGAAATAGTCTTTCCTTCTTCCCCAGTATGGCATTATTTTGGGTGGGAAGGCTGATAGGGAGGAGGCACAGTTCTTCTTTTTTTTTTTTTTTTTTAAGATTTATTTATTTATTTTAGAAAGAGAGGGTGAACGTGGAGGGGGAGGGCCAGAGGGAGAGAGAACACTGAAGCAGACTCCCCATTGAGGGTGGAGTCCGACGTGGGGCTCCATCCCAAGATCCTGAGATCAGGACCTGAGCTGAAACCAAGAGCCAGCTCATGCTTAACCAATTGAGCCCTCCAGGTGCCCCACAGGGTGGGAGGGGACAGTTCTAATCTTTATTCTCAGTCACCTGCCGGGTGGAGGGTGGGAAAAGGTAGGGAGAGAGAAGAGAAGCAGAGGCTGCTGACAGTTCCTATTCCAACGGGAGCTCCTAAGCTCTGTGTTCCTTTTGGCCTCGCGGAATCCAGGCTGATGCTTGGGCAGGTCCCTTTCAGAAGCTGACCGCTGGGCCCTCTCTCCTGCAGCTCCCTCACTGGATGGTTAGATCCTTATTTTCGGTGGCCTTCTTCATCAGGCCTTCCTGACTTCCTCCAGGTTACAGCTCCAGTCTCCCTTGCTTGGGTCTCCTGACTCCTTCAAGCTGGTCAATGAGCATAAGAACCTAGATGGCCTCATGGCAGTTCTTCTGCTCCCACAGCTGTGGGGAGCAGGGGGCTCCCACTCAGCACCTCTAACACACTGAGTCCTCTCTGGCCTTCCAATTTCCTGCAGCACTTAGACCCCAGCCTGTGGAGTTGGAGGCCAGCCCCCTGGGTCTCCCAACTACACCAACACATTGTCAAACCTCTGAAGGGCTGCTCTGGAAATCCCCACTTAGGCTTGGGTGAGGGGTGGATGAAACTCACAGCACAACCCCCTGCCACTCCTGAGCACTCATTCCACCGAGGTAACCCCTTCTTTGTCATTTTTATTGTCTTTGGAGTCTAAGAGCTGTGGGGCAGTTTCTAGGGTCACATGCTTTGGAAAGCTACACATAGGAGCTACATATGGGGAGGGATCCATGTCTACCCTAGAGTCCAGTGGTTCTCAGTCCAGCAACATGGCCCCCAGGAAGCACACAGAATATACTCCTTCTGAAGGTTGCTACAACAATGCATGAGAGATCCTTCTAGCATTTAGTGTCTGGGAGCAGAGCTGCTAAATACTCTAGAATGCATGGGACATCCTTACACATTGACCCAAATGTCAGAGAGATTTCCCTCCTAGAGAAATCCTGGTCATCAGAAGTAGGGCAAAAGAGCCACATTCTTATAAACTCATATATTCTGGAGACCCCTTCATGTTTAGTGAGAGCTTCTCCTAAGACCATGTTACCAGGCTAAGCATGACTAGGGAAGAACCCTCCATTTGTCATTATTTCCTTTTACTCAGACCATAAGCACCTTGGGGGCAGATGCCATCTCTGACCCTTTGAATGGCACTGTGGACACGGTGGGTTCCAACAAGGTCTGTTTAATGTGGTGAACTGAATTGCATTGCACAACTTCATGAGAATATGAGCGAGGACCCAAACACACAGAATCTGAGAAATAAGAGAGAAAAGCACTGACTCGACAGGAAAAATCCAACAGTGTACAGGAAGTGTATTCACTGTCCCTTAATGTGCTCACTATCCCTTCCCTGACGGCTTCTACGTCCACCCCAACACTACCCCCTCCCTCTCCTCAACCCCCCAATCTCCCCTACCCCTCTCCCTGGCCTGACCAAGAATTCCATAAATACCCAACTCTCAGCTCTAGGCCTTATGCTGATCAAGTCATGGATGAGAGCCATGACAAGTGAGCGAAGCAAAAGAGATGTACTTTGGGAAGGCATAAGTTAACAGCCTAGGAGGTCAAAAGGTCTCAAGGAAACTGAAAGGGAAGAAGGGCCAGGAGAGACAAAGTATGGGCAGGGCCATGGTGGGGAAGAGTCTGGAGATGGGGAGAAACAGGCTAGGGATGGCCTCAATATGTCAGAACTGGGGAGCAGCTTCTCAGGGTCTTCAGGCCCTTTATGCTCATTTGTGTTTGTTTTTCTGAGCTTCTCTCTTAGGTTGAGAGTTCACAACAGGAATATGCTCTGCACATATCAAGTCAACAGTTGACTGTTACATGAGGATCGACTATACAAAAAGCCCAAATTGTCTTTGAAGAGCATTTTTTATTGTGGCAAAACACACATAACATAAAATTTACCAGCTTCATCATCGTAAGCGTACCTACCAGTAGTATTAAGTATATTCACATTGCGGCACAACTGATCTCCAGCATCTGTCCATGCTCCCTCAACAGCTTCCCATTTCCCTCCTCTCCACCTGCTGGGAGCCACCGCCCTGCCTTCCATTTCTAGGGGTTTGACCTCACAGAAGTGGAATCCTACAGTATTTATCTTTTTGTCGAGGAGCACACATCTCTAAATCCTACTATGTGTCTGTGACTGTGTGTGACTGTGAACTATGTTGAAACTGGGGTTGTTGCCACTGCCACCAATATTGTCTGCATATCCAGGGAGAAACCTGCCCTGTCAACAGCCCCATTGCATCACCCAGGCCTATGGCAGAGGCCCCCTCATTCAAGCCTTTATTTCCATCCTGACTTTCCTCCCCATTCTGTCCGAAGCGTCCTGGACCAACTGGCGCATTGGATTCTGAAACAAACTAATTCACACAAAGCTGCTAACAGCTGACAATATAACAAGTCACATTGTGTTTCAACATAAAGGACTAAATCTCTAGAAGTGGCAGAAGACAGCCTGCCATAGAGTGAATGTTTGCATCCGCCCCCTCCTGCAAATTCCTGTGTTGGAACCTACTCCAACACATTGTGATGGTGTTGGGAGGTGGGGGCCATTGGGAGGTAATGAGGTGATTGTTGTGCCCAAGATTGCGAATCCGAGAAACCACCAAGGAGCCGATGCCGATGCAAGTACATGAGGGTTTATTTACAAGCTCGAGCTTGGGTCCAATTATACCCAACATGGCGGAGCAGGGACTTGGACCCCGAGACTAAGAAGCATAGTAGTGTTACAGGGGTCCGTGGCCAATGAGATTGTAACATACGTAGAAAGTTGCACAGTCATGTTGGTCCACACGCAGGTGGCCAATTGAATTATGATTCACCCTATAGTGACCATTTGAACTAGCCTATTCTTCTGGTTAGAAGTGGCGCACAGGTTTGGCAGGCAAAAGAGGGGTTTTCATTCCTTGGCGGTTAAAGGTCAGAGGTCCCGCATTCCTATGTGTGCTAGTTTCTGATAAGGGTGTGCTTAATAGCTAAACTAGGGTGAGGGAGTGCCTTAAACAATAGGCAGGTCGTATGGGGGGTTTTACATGAGATGGCGGGTGTAGCACAAAATAGAGTTAGTCCTGCTCTGCTTGTCCAGGGGTAGGGGATTTTTGTTAGATTTCCTGGGTCCCACAGTGATGAAGGTGGAACCCTCAAGTATGGGATTTGTGGGTTATAAAAGGGACGTCAGAGCTGCCCTGCCCCTTCTACCATGTAAGGGCCCACCAACAAGACATCTGTCTCTGAGCCGGGACGCAGACTCTCATCAGACACTATACCTACTAAGCCCAGCTTCCAGAACTATGGGAAATAAGTGTCTGTCATTTATAAGCACCCCTTCCCCCACCCTGCAACCTATGGGATTCTGTTACAGCAGCCAGAACTGACTCAGACCCAGCTATGTTTTGGTAGAGGAGACCCAATCCACAGGAGCCCTTTAGATGTCTGTGCAAGGTGATGGGGTCCACCTCCATCTGTCACCTTAAGTCTGTGGCACTCAGATCTGAAACGCTCTGCCTTGTGGATGCATCCTAAGAAAAATTCACTTACTGAAGCTGAGGTCAATCGGCAGAGCACTTTCCAGCAATACGACTTGCTGCCTCCTTGTGCTGGAGCCCGAGCCTCCACCGACAGCCTCTGCTGCCCAGGCAAATCTCTAGAAGAAATCAGAAACCAGACTGGGTTGGGGCGCCATCTATGACACCAGGGGAAAGACCTCATAATGCCAGCTCTTTGGGGCCACCAACATAGGACGTGCTGTCTTTGCTGAGGTTCCAGAAGCAGAGCCTGAGACAGGAATTGGAGGCACGTGATTTATGGAGGGAGCCTAAGAAGAAGGACAGAGGGAGAATAGGTGTCAGCGCTGTGACCCGAGGAACCAGGGCCCTGGAATGTTTGCATATGGCAGTCCAGTTGCAATGTCCTTTGAGGCCTGGGGGTGGGGGTGGAGGGCTGGCCCTTGTGCCTCCCCCACCTCCACCCCCTGCAACGGTAGGGCAAGCCTCCCCATTGGGCAGGTTGGCAATGAGGGCCCTCGCCTGGTAAAAGGATACGGCTGGTTCTTCTGGAAGAACATTAACACCTGCATGATTCATGTATGCAAACCACCCACATGCTAGAAATCTGAAGTGGTTCCCCTTGACACGGTAATAAACTATGGTCCAATCATGGAGAGATTTCCCTAGCTGGGAGACAGCTGTGGGGAAGACCTTTCCGGGGGGAGAACTCAGGCCCAAGTGGAAGGTGCCAATGATTTGCATAAAGGCAACAGAGCCATTACCTGCTACAAGGTAAAATATGGACCCGGCACTTTTTTTAAGAGGGAGGAAAAAAACAACTTGGTACAGGAGTTTACTGCTCATGAAACCCAATATCATAAAATTCCCTCTGATAAGAATCGGCACCAGGCAGGCATTTAAATATTTAGCATCTTCTTCGGAGATGTAATTACCACTCAGCCTTGTCCATCTGTGTTTGCTGTCCCCTCCGGATGGAACAGGATGCCGTTTCACTGATTTGGCAGATTTATCCACCTGGCTTTTGAGCAACTGGTCACATTTTTTGTCTGATGGCGAATGCCTCCCCTGCCCCCACTCCCGCTTCAGCACACAGGCAGGTCCCCCCACCTCATTGCTCTCAAATCCAAGGTGAAAGCTCAAAAGAGAACTCAACAGAGGAGGGTTGGTTTTCCAGTCCTTGCCTGTCCTCTGATCCTTCTGGAACATGCAGTGGGCAATCCACTGTGGCCTTAGCAGGGGCAGCTCGGGAGCCCAGAAATGGCATATGCCTCAATGCCCTATCCCGAGGGACAGCATCTGCTTGTTGACAAAGTGGGTGGGCCCCAGCCAGGTTGGCCAGGCCGGGCGGGACTGGACCGGCTGGAAGGCCCTGGCGCAGGGGACGCAGCCAGCTGGCAGGAAGGCACGGCCGCTGCCATCTGATGGAGCTTGATTCTGACCTTCTAACCCAACCAATTAGCTCATCTGGACTTCCCCTGGCTTTCTGGCAGGATTTGTCATCATCAAGGTAGCAATGATTTCAAGGAAGTACCTTCTTTGTTTCTTTATGGCTGAATACTCTGTCAAATAATGGCTTGCCCCACCCAGAAATTCCAAAGTGAGGAGACTATGCCCTTCAGGGTGGGGTGTGCCCTCCCCCCTCCTTCAGCCCGCCCACAGATGTGCCTTCAGTCCCTGGGAGTCAGCCTCTGGGGTGAGTTTCCAGCGCTGGGGCCCAGCCAGGAAGAGTCTAGAGCCCCTAATCACATGAAAGAAATGAGCCTCCCCTTCTCCCCAAGTGCACTGTCCACTCTGTCCCAGGGCCCCAGTAATGCAGCTTCACCCTCTGGAGTAGAAAGGCAGGTCCTCAAGTGCTGGGACTGGCATCGCCCAGCACCAGTGTCTCCACGCTTGCTCTTCCTTAGCAGTCTTCAAACAGAAGCAGAACAGAAACGTGGGGTGGCTCAGGTTAGTGTAGAGGGGAGACCTGACTCGCTGCTCCTTTGACCACCCCCCCTCCAACCACAGGCCCTGAAGGAGCCCCATGGAACCTGCTGGAATCCCCAGAACCTTTTGGAAACCGCTGAGCCAGCGCCACTCCCATCTTCTGCACATGAAAATAAATAAACAAACAAACAAACCCAGGCCTAAACAGGGAAACAAATTATGCAGATCTGTGGGGGAGCCGGGCCTGAGACCCTCTGCAGTCCCCAGGCAGATGGCCTGTCCCACAAGCATAAGAAGGTTCCTGCTGGGACCACATCCCTTCCCAGGTCAACCCCTCTCCCTGGTCACTGCTCAGTACTAAATGCCAGATGGGGTTTTTATTGTTCCCAGACTCAGGCCTCTGCCCCAAGGACCCTGCAAGCCGCTCTGGCTCCTGGCCCCATCTGTGTGTGTCCTGGGAGGGAGGCACCCAGGCTGGGGCAGCGACTGTTTGCCTTGCTGAGGCAGAGGACTAGCGTGACTTCCTTTGTTTGATGTTGCTAAGTTATCAGAAAAAAATAAACCTACAGCTCCACAATGAGGTTTTCCATCTCCCGGGGCCTCACGGGCTAGAGCCAGGGCTGAGGCTGGGTGATAGGACCACTGGGCAGAAAAGCCCTGTGACCAAAAGACAGAAAAAAAGCAAGGAAGTGACATCAACCTTCCAGGAGCTTCCAATTCCACCGCCTCCCCTAAAGGGCATCTCTTACGTCCAGAAATGACATGGGCCTCTCACCCCTGGTCTCTCCTTTTCTGTGTCTTGTGTGCCATCTTCTCCCTGCCTTTGGCCTCTGTCGCCTGTTCCCCCCTCCTTGCTTCCTTCACTCACTCGTTCTCTGTGTCTGTCCCTACATGTGTCTGCTTTTCTGTCTTTCTCTGTTGGTTCTCTTTTCCTGTGAGGCTCCCATCTCTCCGTGTCTCTCTGTTTTCCCTTTGGTTGCATGTGTGAGCACACGTATTCCATGCACACGTACACGTGCACTATACACATGCATGCACATAATTCATATTCCCAGAGACACACACACAGAAGCATGCACACACAGGAGTGCCCATATAGTGCGTGCCAACACACCTGTGCACAACCCCACACAGTTCACACTCACACACACACACACACACACACACACACACACTCCCTCACCCCTCCCTCTCTAGCCAAGCTAAGTAAATTCAGAGGAAGACAAGATTCGATCCAACAGGCTTGTTGACACCTCTTTGTATTAACAGCGATTAGTAACCATAGGGGTGGCTCAGTTAATCAAATAGGTCCACGGGAGGCCAGGATCGTAAGCTGGGAGGCCTTGTGTACAAAGCTGGTTCCAGCCACATCACCCCCTGGAAAGGAGCCCCCTCTCTCAGTCATCTGATAGGTGATGACTTTGGTGGCTGCCATCAGACTGCTAAGAATGCAACAGCTCACATGTCTTTTGAAGATGGTTGTGGTTGGAGTTTGGAGGCCTGTGTTGGTTTAGATTTTCTGGAACTGGGTTTGGAAAGGAAATATTGTTTTGAGAAGGAAGACCATAATCACGCTGGTTGGTTTGGTTGGTGGCTGCTCTAGTCTTGGAACCCCTCTGGGAGACACGCTGGGGCTGCTATTGAAGTCAAAAGCAAGGTAGTAGATCCACCGGGTCAAAGAACAGAGTGAGACTAAGGGTCAGGGGTTCTGAGTTTTCCCGTTGGCCCCGCTACAGATCAACTGCTTGGCAGGACTGCCAGTTAACTTCCTGAGGCCTCTTACTCTCACCATGCCAGCAGCCCAATAAGGATGACAACTAACTAAACGGTTGGGGCAGAAAATCCTTCATCAGGGCTGAAAGGTAACATACAGGAAACTGCAAAATATTTTTATTTCTTTTTAATCTATTCAAGGCGAACACATGATTTAGAATTCCCTTTTGCAGAGTAGCTTGAGGCCAATTATTTTGAGGGCAAATAGCCATACAGCTATAGGACCAGGGTCCTAGCAGAAAATCAGGAAAGGTCATTTGACCAATATAAGGAAAGGGAGACAGAATATTTAAAATTGGGATCATTCTAGAAAATCTGCTACATATGGTAGTTTTTCAGTACTTAGTCAGCCACACAGTGATGCTATAATATTGGGTAATAACTAATGCTCAAAATAGGAAATCCCCCCACGCACTGCAAAAAAATGTTAAAGAAAGTTTAATGTATTCTGCTTAAATAGAAAGGAATATATATGTATATATCTGTGTATATGAAGAAATATGTGTATATATATTTTTATATATATATTATATATACATATACATATGATTTATAAAGGATTTAATCTTCCTAAAGGTTAAAATGTTAAACTCGGATGTTTAACTTAGAATGTTAAATTTTAAACTTTTTAAAAGTTACGAATGTTCATCTTACGAAATGTTTAAAATAAAAAATGTTGAGGCACCTGGGTGGCTCAGTCAGTTAAGCATCTGCCTTCAGCTCAAGTCATGGTCCTGGGGTCCTGGGATCAAGTACCACATCAGGCTCCCTGCTCACGAGGAGTCTGCTTCTCCCTCTGCCCCTACCCCTTTTGTTTTCTCTCTCTCTCTCTCTCTCTCTCTCTCTCTCTCTCAAATAAATAAATAAATAAATAAATAAATAAATAAATAAATAAAGTCTTTTAAAAAATAAAGTAAAAAAAGTTTTGGGTCTTACATAAATAAATCCTGAACTGTTTGGAGAAACTCAAGTATCATCACCTTGACATATTTTGCAAAAGTCCCAGGTAGCTGAGATTTCCCCATATGTGATTTATAAGCAATTCTCAAGTGCCTCGCTGTTACGAAGACTTGGTTGGCTTTGTATCTTGTAAGGGCATGCCAATCTGGACGAGCGCGGTGTATTGGTTATCTAATACTGCTATTACAAATCACAGCAAACTTGGTGATTGAAAACAACACATGCATGATCTTACAGTTCTGTAGGTCGAAAGCTTAAAATGGGTCATGCGGAGGTAAATTCAAGGTGTGGGTAAGACTGTGTTCCTTTCTGTAGACCCTCTGAAAGAAACGGATACCCTGCCCTTTGTTTAGCTTCTGGAAGCTGCCCACATTCCGTGGCTCATGGCCCCCTTCCTCCATCTTCAAAAACAGTAATGGCAGGCTGAGTCTTTCCCATGGTGCATTGATCTGACCCCTTCCTTCCACAGTCACATCTC